CGTTGAAATGATAAGATGACTACTGCTCCGTTTGTTTGTTTTATGTTTGTTTGACTTTTCTTAGATTTATTTTCCTTTATATTTAAAAAATAAAACCCAGATTGAAATATGATAAATTGCCTTGTCCAAATAAATTGCCTTTACATTTAACTAAGCCTGGATCTTCCTTGCCTTGTTCATTTATTTCATCACCAAATCATCTAAGCCAAACTGAATAGAAGGCAACTTAAATTACTGTTCTTTATATGATTGGTTATGATAGGATATCCCTTGCTAAGGTTAATAGAAGGGTCAAGAAAAGATCTTGACTACTTCTTAGGATTTTTTTTTTTTAGTCAACATAGTCATACTCTAATTAAGCTCATAGGCTAGGCTAAATTAGGTTAACCCAACTTTGACAATGGGCCTAATTGAACTTATGTAAAAGTGAAGTGTCATGCCTTCACTTAAAATAAATCCTATTTTGCAAGAGATCAAATCTAAAAGAGTACAAGATTATAATTTTCTGAAGATCTATTTGAAAATAATACTTTATATCATTTAAGTTTCATAGCACAAAGCAAAAGTGATCAAAATCATTTATTTCAATACATCCAACAAAAATATATCAAAACCTAGGTTTACTTTATAGGCTAGGTTAACTTAGGTTAACCCAACTTTGACAATGGGCCTAACTAAACTTATATAAAAGTGAGAAGTGTCATCCCTTCACTCAAAATAAATCCTATTTTGCAAGAGATCAAATCTAAAAGAGTACAAGATTATAATTTTCTCAAGATCTATTTGAAAATAATACTTTATATCATTTAAGTTTCATAACACAAAGCAAAAGCGATCAAAATCATTTACTTCAATACATCCAACAAAAATATACCTAAACCTCATATAACAATATAATATATCTAAATAACAAAAGAGTGACTTAGGGTCCGTTTGGGGGCAGCTTGTGCGTTTCAGGATAAGCTGACAAGATCTATTTGAGAATAATACTTTATATCATTTAAGTTTCATAACACAAAGCAAAAGTGATCAAAATCATTTATTTCAATACATCCAACAAAAATATATCAAAACCTAGGTTTACTTTATAGGCTAGGTTAACTTAGGTTAACCCAACTTTGACAATGGGCCTAACTAAACTTATATAAAAGTGAGAAGTGTCATCCCTTCACTCAAAATAAATCCTATTTTGCAAGAGATCAAATCTAAAAGAGTACAAGATTAACAAGATCTATTTGAGAATAATACTTTATATCATTTAAGTTTCATAGCACAAAGCAAAAGTGATCAAAATCATTTATTTCAATACATCCAACAAAAATATATCAAAACCTAGGTTTACTTTATAGGCTAGGTTAACTTAGGTTAACCCAACTTTGACAATGGGCCTAACTAAACTTATATAAAAGTGAGAAGTGTCATCCCTTCACTCAAAATAAATCCTATTTTGCAAGAGATCAAATCTAAAAGAGTACAAGATTATAATTTTCTGAAGATCTATTTGAAAATAATACTTTATATCATTTAAGTTTCATAACACAAAGCAAAAGCGATCAAAATCATTTACTTCAATACATCCAACAAAAATATACCTAAACCTCATATAACAATATAATATATCTAAATAACAAAAGAGTGACTTAGGGTCCGTTTGGGGGCAGTTTGTGCGTTTCAGGATAAGCTGTTTATCCTAAAACGCGGCCCGCGGGCCGGCCGCAGGGGTCGACTTGCGACCTGAGTTTAGTGTAAAAACTCAAACGCAGTTTCAGATAAGTTGTTGAAAAGCGCGAACCAAACTGTACGACGGCGTTTTAATAGATAAGTTGTCGAAAAGCGCGAACCAAACTGTACGACGGCGTTTTAAAACGCCGCCCGCACTTATAAGTTGCCCCAAACGGACCCTTAGTATAAATGATGGTCTCACTCCACCAGAGAGTTATACTTTTTTGAAAATATTTAAATGATGGTCTTACTCCACCAGAGAGTTATACTTTTTTGAAAATATTTAATGTATAGATGAGTATACAACCCATTAGATTATAAGAAATCTATCATTTTAGTTAAAAATGTGCGCATTGCTTTAGAATTCTTGCATAATATGATCAATGATAAGTATTCACCTAGCGAGTTAAAAATTATATAAGGAGAATCATAAGAAATTATTGTGATAACTAAACTAATCCAAACAAAATAAAATTAAAGCCAAAATTGATAAAATTAGCTTGTTTACTATTAATAAATTTGTTAACTTATTATGATTTTTTATTTTTCAAAAATTTCTTAAGAAACATTTTAAATATTTAAATAAATTAATAATCACTAAAAAAATAATCATTAAAAATTAAAATTCTTTAAGGAACCTTAGCATTGTTAATTTAAACATGTTCGCATATCAATAAATATTTTTTGCTCCTGCATAGAAACTTATAAATTTAAATATATAATTTTACGAATCTTTTTTTATTCTAGTTAATTATGATTTTAATTAAGCGTAAAATAAGATTATTATCTAATTTAGCTAAAAAATAGATTAATCAAACAAAGTTTATTATATGTAAATTACATAAATGATTTTTAATTAATAAAAAAGAATAATTATTAATTAATTTTAATTTTTCAAAATTTTTAAGCTCAAAATAGAATTCATGTTCACTTGAGTAAACAATCTTTAAAATGTTAATTTTTTAAATAAAAACTAATTATTATTGATCCTAAATACCTTAAATTAATTAGATAAAATTCTAAGAAATAACAAAAAATAATAAAAATTTGTTACATTAACTTAATTTGGCTGGTAGGGAATGTACTTTTACTAATATTGAAAAGCATCACTCAATTGTCATTATATTTGTGAAATCAAGTCAGATTGAAAGGTAAGCCCAATTTTACCTCCAATCAAGTGACACCACACTACTTTGCTTATTTGCATAACCTATGTTGCATTGATGACACACATTTACATATATATATATCATCATTGTGTAACATATTATTATTATCATCATTGTATAATACTATGGTATGGACTATCACATATCTCATATAATAGCTTAGAAATATGTTTATTCTAGATGAGGTCACCTTAACCTATGATCGAAATAAAATTAAACTATGTAAACATGTTTGTGTCAACCTTTTGAAAAATTAATTGTTATTCAAAGTTACTTTTCTTTTAAACAATCATACCAATACATATAATTTTTAAGAAATTTCTTCCAAATATTAATAAAAAAAATCATATATAAAACTTAAATTATCCCAAAATAAGTTAAGGTGGCATGCTTTAATTAATCAAATTCCTAAAATAAGGTCAATCCTTATAATATGTGTTAATCTGTCTAATCACACTAAGTTTTGAACACAACAATTGATGAGAAATACAAGATCGATCTTCATGTTGGCTTATAATTATGTGTAATAAGTTGAAGTTCTTATTTCATGCAAGTGTTGATATTGCAATTTTCTATAAAGCATTGTGAACTATGTGGCATAATATTGTGCCAAGCTTAAAATAATATTTGAATTATTACGAAAAATTCATCTGTAGTACTTGATATATTTTATATTTTTTTTCTTGTTTTTTATATACTATTAGCTAGCAAGCTACATAAATGAGTTAAGATATAAGCATGCCTTTAATTAGTACATTTGAATATCTTACGAAAATTAAAATATAGAAGAATTAAGAAGAAAATACTTGGAGTATAAGTAGCTCTTGCTACTTCCATAAATTCATCTCTGTTTTTGGTATTTTTTATTTAGGTATTATTGTAAAATTGGTTTATACTCTTTGTAGAGCTCATTTCTTATATCTTTTCTTTCATTAGGATGTACTTAGATATTCAATTGTACTAATATTTCTCTCACTTGCAACATACATAATATTTATCAAGATGTTTATACATAGTCGCTTGCTTTGTCCTATTTATTAATAATATGTGATTGTTTAAATTTACAATATTGTAAGGCATTATGAAATTATTTTCTACAAAACTAATCAAAATTTGAATCAACATTAAAATTAAGTTCAGAGTTATTTTCTTAAAAGGGCAATGAAAGGTCTCTCTGATGATCCCCTTTTTTAATTAGTTTATTTATGTTTATATGAAAATATAACCATTATATGAATTTGCACGTATGCGTTTTTATGATAATGAGCCTTAAAATCATTAAAAGAGTGTTTAAATATTAATCTAGACGTGGTCAAATTCTCTTCCATATAGATTAAAGTTTTCATTTTAAGGACATATTCTATTATCCCATTCTTGTTTCGTAAAATGTACGTGCTACATTTACATTTGTTCGATATGTCATAATTACTTAAACTTGGTATAGGTTGTAGTTTAGTACATTTGAGTAGTTAGTGACGTTTCTAACCAAGATAAGATTATAAAGTTTTTGGTAGGTTGACTTTATTAATCAACTTGTTAATGTCCACTATTTTGTATGCATCTTCTTAAATTATTAGATTTGTAATACTGTTTTTTTTATTGTCTACAAAATAAAATATATGAATTTTTCATCTCTTTCTTGGATTAGTGTCTATAAAGATCTTTTAAATAAAGTTTTAAATATAAGAGTTCAAACTTGAACACAAATTTTGCTATTTTAATGAAAGTATTTTTGGAGATTTTTGAAATATAATTAAATTTAAGAATAATATATATTTTCTTGATAATTTAAAGCTTAAAAAACATCAAGATATAAAAAAGTTTGATTGGCTAAAATATGAAATTTCCATGAATTTCTTTGGCTTTCATGAGAGTATCATGTTTTCCCCTTTAAGCCTTCAATTCTATTCCTTCACTTACAATATCTTATATGATAAAACCTTTTCACTTTAAAAATGAAAAATACATATGTGTGGGCACCCACACTCACGTCAAACATCCATCCCTTCCATGATAGAACTCAAAACAATAAAGAGAAGTGGGGACCATAATTGTAGATGGAGTTCTAGTGGATACATTTGGATAGGGGTAGGAAAAATTAAATCATTATCAATTCAAAATTTCTAAACCATACAAAAACCATCATGTTATAGAATACTTCCCATAAAATACATGTAGAAATATCAAATTTTGGACGTAATCATCAACTTCTCCTCTCTCTCTCTTCAAACAATGATCAATTTTTTTTGTATTCCAAACAAAAACTCTTGCCATGGATTCATGTTTGCTTGGAAAACTCATTAACACCCACCATAAATTCAAGCATACAACTACAATAAGAAAAATCAAACTATATATAACTCTCTATGGTCTTCAAGCTCATGTCACTTTAACTAAAACATGGGAAACATTTCCCAAATCAAAAATCAAATTAATCCATGCGACGAACACCCACTCCTCTAAATCTGTCTCCCTGTCTTTTTCACCCAAAAAAACAGCAAATCGCTGATTTCCTTAAAATCCACGTGAAAAAAAATCCTTCAATCTTAATACCTCACCGCCCTCAGTTCAACAGGGAAACAAGGATACTGCCTCCAAGCATGTCCATGCATCCTTACCATCATCAACGCCTTCTCCTTCGTCGACGAATGCCCGTCAACATGTATTAACCCAAACAACTTCCTCACCGCCCCACACCCCATCATTCCCTCCACCACTTCCTTCCTCTGCGAAAAAGTACAAACCAACCACAACACTTTAACCCCCAACTTCGTCCCCAAATCATGCTCCTTCTCTATCTTGCTCGCAACCGCCGCAATTCCCATCCTATGGTCCACAAACGCCGACCTCCCCTCAGCACACTCGCACAGCCTCTTCAGCAGCAGCAACGTTTTCTCCCTCCGTTGCCTGCCGGCTTCATCCGGCAGAAGCTCAATTAAAACACAGACAGCCCCTGCTTCGATGGCTTTTAAACGATTGGCTTTGGAATTATACACGGATTGAAGGAGGAGGTCGAGGGATGATGAGCTGAGCTTTGTAGAGACCTCGTCGGAGAGAAGATCGAGCAGGGATTTGAAGACGTCGATGTCTTGGTGAAATTGGTTGGTTATAGATGGATTGACTTTGGAGAGTCTCTGCAGGATGGTGATAGCGTCGAGCCGGGCTTCAGCGCCGCCGCGCTGGAGTATAGTGAGCATCGGCTTGACGATTTCGGGATTCGAAAGAAGCCCGATTGATGCGTCGTGGTTGTCAAAAGGGAGATTTTTGAGAACTCCGAGAGCCTCCTCGCAAGCGCGGAAGGGGGTGAAGTCGTCCCCGCAATCGGTATTGGATTGCGTAAGTATGCGACACAGGGCTTCGACGCCGTTGGAGTAAAGGAAGACAAGTGGGTTATCGGTGGCGAATGAGCGGAGCTTCCTGAGGGAGCTGACTTTGAAAGGGGAGGACTCCATGGCGGAGAGAATGGAGGCCAACTCGAGGTGTTTTGAAGACAGGGAAGAAGAAAGAAATGCTTTTGTTTGTGTGTGATGAGATTGGTTACGCCATGAGAGGATGAGGTTCTTGAGGGTGTGGTTGGGAATGAGGTCGAAGTTGTGGAGGGGTTGCATGGTGGCGGGGCAGATTGCTCTTTTGTAGGTGAAGAGCCATTTCTCGATGCTCTGCCGATCGTATGTGATGCCGGTGGAGATGGTTACAGGGTTTTCCATTATTTCGAAGGAGATAGGGCATCTGAATATGGTTGGGAGCTCTGCTGCTTCCATGGATGAAGTCATGTTCTCTCGCTGGATATCTACCTCCGGGCGAGTTCGGATGGAAGAGAGGAGGAGGTATATATTGGGGGAAGGAGGGCGGGTGATGGTTGGAATTTGGCTCGTGAAATGTGTAAAGTATGAGACTAGGGATGGAGAAGTCAATGGTCCATTGGCTTCATATTAGCCGCGGCGAAACACAATGCCAAACATCTGGAAATTACAAAATTTGTTCAGTTTTGGGCTCATTGTGCGTTGACCAAGAAAAATCAGTTCTTGATGTTCTTATGATCTTTATTTTGTTAATTATATATAAATATCTTAAATTTTTTTATTTTATCAAATGGTTCAAGAAAATATTTTAATTATTTTTTATTTAAAATGCTACGTGATATCCTACTTAATTATCACTATTACAAAAATTTGAAGTGTAAGATTTTCGATTTTATTCTTATCAAATTTTATTTTTATTATTTTAATACAATTTTTTATGGAAAAAAATTGTAGCTGAAAATTTGTATATTAATATGGTAATAAAAAGAAATCTCCTTATAGTAAAAATAATAGAGTAGAAGCTATAGGATATTTGAATTTTATTTTTTTCCTAGATTGAGCCCAATATATTTTTTCTTGCACTATCTTTATTTTTTATATGATTTATATGAAATATCACCTCATTTTGATTGCATTTATTTTAATTTCTCCCTTGTAGTCTTCAAGAAGCTCTCGTGATATCAATCATAGGTCTAGGGATTTGACTGTTCTTCTTTGTTTTTCCAATCTATTGAAAAAACCCTAATCTCTTTTCCTTCATTGTTCAACTGCTGGTACTTTATTTTGGTTTAGGGGCTTTTGCACCTTTTTTTTCTTATTACAGATTCTTCTTTTTCTCCCACTAAACTCCTCTTCTTAAGCTTGACCTATTATTGGCCCTAGCTTGTTTAACTAAAAGGTCTTGTTTCTTCGCAGCTAACTAGTTCTTCTAATTTTAATGTATGGAGACTTGAAGTGGATGTAACTGCTGTTGTTTCAATGTTCTACAGTGATAATGTTGTTAAAAAGATTTGAACTTCTTAGTGTTCTCTTCGTTAGATAATTTTCTTAGAGATTTTTGTTTGAAGCGTTCTAAAGTTTTCAAATAGTTGTGTTTGAAGAGTTTTTTTTTTTGAGGCTATTTTTAATATTCTTGTTTTTTTTCTTAGTTGAGTTGTATTGGTTTTTTTGTATCTTTATTTTTTTCAACAAATGTAGTGCATGACCCTCAAATTTCTCCCTTATAGATAGCATGTCAGCTAATTTGTACTTGTGTCGCAAGATATGTTAGATATGGAAATGCTCAAGCTTGTTTATCACTATTGTGGCCTTCATCAGGTATTTCAACATCACCTTATCCGTGCTTCAAACAACCCGGTGATCTAGCTTACCACTAGCTAAGAGTCCTATTTGACTAGAAGATAGGTCACTCTAATTTCTAGTGTGAACCTAAGGCCAACAACTATTGCTTCATACTCAGTTTGATTATTAGTGGTGGCAAAGACGAGCTAAATTGAGTGACTTTGGATGTATCAGAAAGAGCTGCGCAGGACCATCCCCACCCATTTTCGTATGTTGCCAGAAGCTCCATCCACATAGATTATCCAAAGCTTACCTCTTTCTGTGTTCACTTCTTCATCACGTGATCTTTCAAGGAAATAAACTAAGATGTCGACTATAACTTGAGCTTTGTTTGCTCTTTTGGGCAAGTAGAAAATATTGAATTAACCAAATTCTACTGCTCACTTGAGTAGTCTTCATGAATGGTAGATTTTTTACAACACAAACTTCAATTGATGATCAATAATGACATGCACAGTGTAAAATTGGAGATAAGGTCATAACTTTCTCGTTGAAAAGATAAGTGTCGTAAAAAATTTCTCCATTATCATTTACTTTCATTTAACTTTTTGAAATATTTTTCTCACATAGTACAAAGGAAATTACTTTTTTGTTCTTCTCATAAACGAGTACCAAACTGATGGCTTCTCTACCAACTTGTGGGTAGAGCCACAACTCTTACTCGAACATTGACTTTTACAATAGTGAAAGTGATGATAATAAAGCTTTTCAATTGCATGAAAGCTTGATAACTTCCTATCTCCATATGATATATTTGAAAAAGGAAGAGAAGTGATCTTTAGATTTTGAGATGAATAGATTGAGTCTTGCAATCCATCCAGTATGGAGTTGAATACCTTAGTGGTTCTTTGGCGGCAAGATGTCCAATATAGTTTAGATCTTCTTGTGATTTGCCTTGATTATGTTGGGCAATAGTAAGTATCTGAGGAATTTTTAGAGCAAGCTCAAAAGGTACATTTTGAAGGATTAAACCTCAAATTGAACTAACATAGAGCAGGGAAAATTTCTTTCAGATTTCTATGTGTTACACAAGTGATTTGATTTTTTCAAAGAGATCAATGATATAGATTTTAACACTTTTTTTTTCTTTTGTATTCATAAAAGTTACATCCATCAACCTTTGATAGGTCACCCCAGCATTATTTAAACCAAAATAAGTTACATTTTAAGGTAATTTTTTTCAATATCGACATGATGCATCATTATTTGATGGTACCTAGAGAAGACATCTAGAAAGCTCATGACTAAATATCCAACTAACAAATTGACCAATGCAATAATCTGTGGGAGAGGACAACTATCCTAAGGACAAGTTGTGTTCAGGTTTGTGAATTTAACACACATTCTCAATTTATCATTTGATTTATTCACCATCATCACATTAGCGAGCCAATCAAGGTATTACACTTCTCGGATGAAAACATTTTTAACAGTTTCAACACTTATTGTCGAATAGGTTGAGCTAGCTTATTTACCATAATTCACATTTTTTTGCTTAAGAGGCTTGGATTTGGGATTGACATTTAGTCGATGACAGGAGATGCCGATATTGACCCCATAAAGTTTCATTATGAGTCCATGAAAAGACTCTCCACGACTTCTTAAGGTGGAGATAAGTTGATCCCAATGATTTGTGTTAAATTGGCACTAATTATAAAAATTCTCTTTATTTCTTCTTTAAAAACAAGCACATTTTTCAGGACTTTAGTAGTTTTGATACCATTGCCTTTATTGCTATCGACCAAGGGAAGATCTTCCATTTCATTCTCTATAACTCATAAATAACTGGTTTAAGAATGAATTCGGTCTTCTCGAATGGTGATGACTATGCCGCTAGTCATAAATTTCATGGTAAAATGGTAGAAAAACTTAACAACATATAGCATCAATTTTTCAAAGATGACATTATACATGTTGATAGCTTCAACAACTACAAAATATATTGTAGCCATGTATTGATGGTCTCCTTCCCCCTATGTTAATTGGAGGGCTATTAACCCCACTTTTTTTCACTCTCTAAAAAATTTAAGAACCAGTCCGAAGGTGGGGGCAAACTGGTCAACCATGATATGTGGTTAATATATGACTAATTTGCTTTTACTTTATGTTAATATATATTTTTTTATTTTAAATGTTCATATTGATGGTTTTCCAGTTGTTTTCGTGATTTGTGCTGGTAGTAGGTAAGTTGGAACAGGAAAGCAACAAGAGAGCTGAAACATGGCCCACATTTCTTACTTGCCTATATACCCCACACGCCCTGTCCCTCTTCTTGTGTTTCTCTCTCAACCCCACTCACTCTCTCGATTCTCCTGCCTTATATACCTCTCTCTTGTGATTCTTCTTCCCTTTGATCCATGGCTCCGGTGGCTAGCATTGTTTCTGGTTAGTTATTGTTGGTGGCAAGTGGTTGTTTCTGTGACCCTTACATTCTTCTCCCTCTCCTCTCTTTTCTTCCACTCAATTTGTGGTAGTTCTATGCACTTTGTGTTCTGTGTGGTGGATCATTTTCTTTGGTTGGGGGTCATTGTGGTGAGGTTTGTATTCTCTCTTTCCC